TCGTAAGCAGCTGCGCGTACAAATATAAACAAATGTCAAGTGGTGATTTAAATGCCTGATCTGGCAATATTTACCTCAGAATCGTTTTTTTTAAATGTCATAATTTTTAAGGTTCTAATTCGTTTATCGTAACGTTGTTTGTTTTAACCCGTTCAGGACTAGCGTCCCATATACGCGACGCAGCTATTCTGCTCCTACGAGCCCAGCGTCACGTATACGTGACATTAAAATGGAACGATTTATTTGAATTTTTAAAAGCCAGTAAATGGAGCTAAGTGGTAATTGTTTTCAGATGGCCTGATTCATACAGCAATTGACCTTCATATACTGGCATTAGTTTCTGGTTTTGAGAGATTTATTGAAATAAACAAGCTGGAAATCACAGTTCTTTATAAGTACGCCTATGAATTAAAGGGTGTTTTTGTTTATTTTTGTTAAGTATTTTTTGTTTGTTTTTCTATTTATTTTGAAACTTAACATAAGCTTTCTTGCTTAATTAAAAAGTAACATTACAACAACATTAGGACAAGGGGAAAGACTATCAGCTTTCTCGATGCGTAATGCGTCTTGCTCGCATTTCTCAGGAAAGAGCCAGCATTTTTTTCTTACTCGATTTAATAGGTCATTTGTATATAATGCCTTAAATGATCATTATATATAATGCCACAGGAATTATATTTTGGGATATAATGTATATATTGACACGATCAGTAATGGATATCCCACCAATGGGGGGGGGGGGTCTTTCCTTGATCACTTTCCGGTAATTGTAGAGGCTGTTTTCGATTTAGAAAAACAGGAAGGCTTCTAATATAAACCTGATGTCACAGTGTTTGAGGATGAAATATTTCTGAGTGTCTTTTAAAGTTTTGTGACATGTGTTGGGGTTATATATAGTTTCATTCCGTTAGCCATGGCTAAAAGACCTTACTTAAAAACTTAAAAATTTTTCCAAAATCACCGGATACTCCACCTTTCCGTCTAACTGTAAGACAGTTTCTGAAAATTTACGTTGATAGAGGAGGTAATAAGGGTAGGAGATGATGCGTTGTGTGCGCTAAAACCAAGGAAAAGCGAAAGCAAACAATGTATTTTGAGTGCGAAATATGCAATGTAGATTCAGGTCTTAACTGCGTGTCGATTCTTGTTTTGAATTATTTCACACACAGCAGAACTTTTAAACTGGAATTTAATTACCTAGAGGTAATTCTTGTTCAGTTTTTTTTTTTTTTTTTATTTCGTATTTGTAAATTTTTTTCATGTTTATAGTATATACTTCTGTGTCTATAGTTATGATTTTAGTATTTTGCCGGTTTAATTTATTTCTATTGTGATATTCTTTATATTAATACGCATTAAAAGAAGTACATTAACAACTCCAAAAATTGAAGTCGTAATATCAAAATGCTGATTTTATACGATTTTCTTTTTTCTTTTTTTTTGTAAAATTAGGCTTAACTGCTGAAAATGCGTGGGCCGTTGGCGACGATCCATTTCAGAGGGTCCAGTTCCGTGACTGTGCTTCGTTCTCCCGGCGCTGGTCCTTAAGAGGTTAACAGACTCAAAAATGTTTACAGTTTCTAAAAATGTAAAAAAATAAAATTTGATTTTTTTGAATGTGTAAAGGTCTCCCCAAATCACAAAGCTTTCATCTGATGGAAGCTTAAGTCTCCACTTGCTTTTTGACATAGCAAAAGAGACTATCTATCATTGAATTGTACCAAAATGCTATCTGCTCATGAGTGATGTATGTTTTCTTTGCCATTTTATTAGAATAAAGCAGTTTTGTCACAGTTCAATAATTAATGAGAAAGAAATCTTTCAGATTTTAATTCTCACTAAAACCCTGCATAAATTGCACAGCAGCTTTTTTGTTTGCACTTCCAGCTTCTCCATGCCTGATTACCTTATTTTCTTAAATTTCTCAAACCACCTTCTACTTGTTTAAAAATATGAATACCATTTGGGATAATTTTTTATCAGATGGTGATGCAATTGCATTTAAAAAAATTATAACACTGGGAAAATATTCGATGTAACAAACGCAGAGTTTCAAAAATAGTCAATTATTATAAATACAGTGATACCAAACTTGAAAATTTAAAAATGAAATTTATTATCATTATTTTAGTTTGTCAGCGGCACATAAATTGATGACTTTGGAATAATTAATAAATCTCCCTGCACAATATACTGGAAAATTTTTATAAATTATTGATTTTTATATAATTACTAAATCTAGAAATCTTTCTGTTTTGTGAAACTTTTATTTCATTCACATTTATCTCTATCTAAATAGAAAATAAGAGAGTGATTATTACAGTTTTCATGATTAGAATTTTTAGTTTTGAAGGAAAATATTTTATTGAAATGATTAAATCCAACAAGACTAAAACTATTAACTATAAAGCTATAAATATAAACTTTTATCAGTAGAATAAATCTAATGATAAAAACGTGAACTCACAGATATATCAATAAAAATAATAAAAAACTGATAAAGACTTAACAAAGCATAAAAATATATATATATATATATATATATGCAACAAAATCAAACTTACTTTTGTATGTTTAGAAGGCTGAAGGCCATCTTTTGTACACTTCTTAAGTCTGAGTTGGAAAGTTAGAAATGGAAACTATTGGAATGTTTTTATAATGGCTAGAACACATTAATGAGGCATCATATGAAATTGAATGATCACAAGAATAAATTCATCTAAAAATTGATAAGAATCCCTGCATGTTCTTCTCTCACCTAATACAATGGGGCTTTGAGCTTGCTGGAAGGTGCAAGGTTGATGGGGCAACTACTTCTGATGTCAAAGCTTCCTTTCGCTTCAGTGTCTAGGCTTTTTTCTGTTAAGAGAGAGGGGGGATGTCTTTGTGGAAGATTTTAAGGAACTGACTTGCATTCACATTACACATGTGGAAAATCATGAAACCTGCCATGCAGCCAGCCATTTGTAGCATTTGAATCTGTGGGCCCAGATTTAATTATGTTGCTTGGCCATTGGCAGGTCATTTTTAATACTGAGATGAATTCACTGAAGATATGATGAAGCACTTTTTTTTAGAATAAGGGCTGATAATAGTCAAGCAATTTATATCCATATTACTATGGCAATAAATTGCTATGTTGATTGAGCAATCAACCTTTCTTAGTAAGGAGGCTGACTTTTTTTTATTTCTGGAAATCCTCTGGTTGTTAGTTTTCCAGCCAAGAGAATGATCATTTATTAGATTTCATTTTCAAAATATGAGAATTTCTTGGTAGAAAACAAAGAGTAAGGCCTGAAAGTTAATTAGGAAAGTTCATTTGAAGAATTTAATAATGGGTAATTTAAAAATTGCTTTCTTAATAACCTTAATTTCAGTTTCAAAATTTGAAGCAAGGATGCCTATAGTTTGTAAGTCTTCAAGAAAATCTCTGCAGAAGAATTTGCTTCAGAAGCACAGCCATCAATATAGAGCAGTAGCTCATCTGCACTGGAATATTCAGCTGAAATAAGATTCGAAGAAATACACTCTCAAGGCAGTGAGGATAGGTTCATATTTTTTTTTTCCTTAATATAAATGAAAAGGTTTTAATAAGTATTTTTAAAAAAGTGAATAAATGAAAAATGTTTTATGAAGCGTAATGAAATTTTGTTTACTTTATTAATGCAGTAAATTATAATTTTAAACATTTTTCATTTTTAAGTTATTCACATAAACAGTATTCAAAATCAGCTTTTCTGACCAATTGTTTGAAGTAAAGCTTATTCTGACTTGCATATGGTGTAGTTTCAAGAGAACTATTAAATTATCTCACTTTCAGAAAAACCTCTTTATAAAATTTGGATAAATTACTCATTAGGTTTTCTGCTTAGCTAGAAAGGAAGTGAATTTGAAAAACATGCTAAGATTATCTGTCTATGGGAGGGATGTGTTTATGGATAACTTACATAATTCCATTCTGAGTTTTGAGAGTTGCATTTAATCATTCTTCAGTAATGTTGCTCTGCATTTCATTGAAAATTCATTTTCATTAATAAATAAATTATGAAGAAAAAAACAATGATGTCATAACACAAATACTATAATAATTAAAAAATATGAAGCTGAATATCCTTTTTTATTGATTGTTATTAAATTCAAGTAACAGTTACAAGGATCCTCTTCATATGAAACAGTAAAACAAAAATACACAGATATCATTTTATATATATTATATATCTATATATATATTATGTACATTAGGTTAGAATCTTGAGTCACTTCATAGTATGTGGCCTCTTTACCTAGGAAGAAAGTATGAAATACAATACCATATAAAAATTATATGTTGTAAATTAGCTTAGATAATATTATCAAAATTATATTATTTTATTAATTTTGATAGGATAGATTGGATATTTATGTTAATTTATTTATTTAGTGCCTTTTTTTTTTTTTTTTTTTTTTCAATTTCGGATGAAAAGAAAAGCTATGTGCTAAATATTAGTTATTTTTTGTTTTCTGTTTAAACTAAAACAAAACAATGATAAATAGAAATGCCATTATTTTATTTTATTCAAAATATAGAGAGGCTTTTCATCTTTTAGACAACTTTCATTATATTTACAAAAATATTTTAAGTAAAATTTTCGTGGTTTTTTTTTTTTTATAACCCTTTTTCACAACTTTCCTATACCGTAATTTCCAAGACAGCCTTTTGCAGTATCGGAAGAGGTATTTTATCCCATTCCTCTTAAACAGCTTTTCAAAATCTAAGGAGGATTGTACGTTAATGTTTGGATAATCAGATTTTTAAAAACCCAAAAAATCTATGGGTGATACATCAGGAGATTTAACAGGGAAAAGAGTCGAGGGTATGGTCTTGATACCAATTTCTTATTCTATTTTCTTCAGGAAATTAACAGTGGAATTTGATGTGAGGCTGTTTGCTTTGTCTTAATGCAGTTTTACTTAATTTCTTATTCTATTTTCTTCAGGAAATTAACAGTGGAATTTGATGTGAGGCTGTTTGCTTTGTCTTAATGCAGTTTTACTGATTGATGGCACTGTGGACAAAGAAAAGGTATTTCACATTTGAAAACTGGATATCAGATATGTTCCTGATAATAAGTTGAGTTGATCTTAACATTCTGCTCTATTCTCTCTACTTTTAATTTGCCATTATATGAAAAACCAGCAACAATCATAAATCTTTTTGAAAAACTTTCTTTAGATTCTTTGGACCATGTTTTAGGGTTCCACTGAAACAGGAGAATGAAATTCCCTGACTTTTCCAGGTGTGTGTAAGAATATTCCAGTCTATCTGCGTAATGCACGTTGGCTGAGCTAAGAGGTAAATTAATTCTGGTACCACTTGAAAACACAAAAATTTGCCAATTACATGTGACTTATATATAATCCCAAAAGCATTACTATTATAACTATAATAGGAGTTGTTTTCTCCACTGAAGATTGAGATTAGAATCTGCCCAATCTGGATTAAAAAATGTCTTTTTGCAGACAAACGAAAGAAAGAAATCTGTTTAATGATAATTTTAAATAAATTCAGATAGTTTAATTTATTTTGCAGCATACATTAGCAAAAAATATGTGCATTAATTTTCGTGATGGTATATCATTATTCTGCTAGAATTAGTTTCAGGATTATGCCAGAGAAAATTTCCTGAAATTTTAAAGTATTATCTACTAATACTAAATAAATTTAGCGGGAAGAAGCAATATTAAATGATACAAATAACATTTAAATAAAGATAATACTTAAAAATTGAATTAGAATAATCAACGATATTTTAGTGAATGTAAGTTATATTAAATGGTTAGCCTACGTGAATGATTACTATTTTTTTTAAAATTTTACTGCAAAATGACAAATAATTTATTAAAAGGGAAAGTTTAAAGGTTTTGCAGTAAAATCCTAGTATACGCTACAGCCTTGGCATGATTTTGAAAATTGTCGGCAACACCAAAATGGCCCATTTACTGCTCATCATGATGTCGCCAAATCCTGTGTGTACCATACACGGAGGTTAGAATGGAACACATGTAGGCTATTTTAACCTCTATGATACCGTATACTGGAATTAAACTGATTTTGTTTTATACGAGAATATGTATTTTCTTTAGTTCAACATGCACATGCGAGTCTCTCGATTCTCAAAGTTACTGGAAACCAAAGTTGCTGTGAAAATTGGCTCTATGATAGCTGGCCGAATGGAGCTCACATGATACATAATTCACCAAGAAAGTGATCCCTTCCAAAGTTGGCACAAAACTCGCTTTTTGTTTTTGGAATCACCATATGAAATACCGCGACTTTTCCAGATTTTGCTAAAATATTTATATTCCTTGACTTGATTTTGCAAATGTCCTTTGACTTGGGAGATTTTCTTTTAACATGAAAGATCTTACCTTTGCAACGTTTGAAACATTCCGTTTTTGAAATTGGATTTGTATTTGGAACAATTTTTCCACTTGAAGTGAAAATTTGATATATTTTTCTCTTTTTTGTTAACAATATTATCTATTGTAGATTTAGATATCGAAAAACCATGACTCTGGCAATGTTTTTTGATAACTAGATAAGAATAAAATTTCTTTTGAAAGAATGTAAACATAGCCTTCCATCCATTGCTTCTTTAAAAGTGCCATGAAAACAAAACTGTCAAGTAGCAGATGATAATTTGTACTTTCAAAAATATAGTTGCAGTTAAAAAAAAATTCAAGCAGATGATTCCCCCCCCCCCATAGTGAAGTAAAATCATCTAAAAAATAAGCGAACAGCCTCTGTATTTGTTAAAACTAAGTAAATGAAACCTTAGTAAATTAGTAAAACTTCTTCTTATCGATATTCTAGATACTTGGATTTCATTCTAGGAATAGTGAAATTAAGTTTGCTGTGAACTTTTTTGGTTGATTTAAATTATTTTTTAATTAAAATTCTATAATTATAACAAATGATAGATATTTATTGTTAATTTTATTTTATTTAGTGCCTTTTTTTTTATTTTGTTTCAATTTCAGATGAAAAGAAAAGCTATGTGCTAAGTATTAGTTATTTTTTGTTTTCTGTTTAAACTAAAACAAAACAATGATAAATAGAAATGCCATTATTTTATTTTAGATGAACTTCTGTCGTATCACAGTTATTACGTATATGCTGAGAGGAAAATGATCAGTTGAACAGATAGGCTACAACCCTAAGTAGTCTGGATATTTATATTTTATTGCATTTAAAAAACATGCATAGAATCAAATGAGAAAGAAGAAACATGCCAATGTAACTTTTAAAATTTGGCAAAAAGCAACCTTGATGCAGTGTACATTTTGAATAACACTTTATGAATTTTGAGGGCCATCAGACATGGATCCTTCTTCAGAGAGAAAAAAAAAACTCTGGTTGAGATGGGAGAAGCAACTACTATTTTATATTGAGAACAATGCGCTGATTAAAGTGAATGTGAACTAAAGACCATCTCACAAGAAAAAGAGTAGCAAAACATGAAAAATTATTATTGTAAACGTCCAAAAGTTTTAGCACTGGAATTAATGCCCCTAACTAAAGAAGACAAAATTTTGTGAATATGAAAAGCTTCAAGGAAATCTAATTCACAAACTGTTGAAGCTTCATGGATAATTTTAACAAAATTGAAGTTTTATGAAGTTTATGACAAGAGTACCCTGCTGTGATTAGCCACTAAATATTTATGCTTATTTATCTTTTTCAGACATAAGATTCATATTCTTTGATGCAAAGTTTGAATGCTTTTTTTTTTTTTTTTAAGTTTAACTGATATATCAAATCACAGTGACAAGATATGTTATAAATTCCCCAAGAATTTAAAATCATTAGGAATAAATTTTATTGATAAGTGACATAAAGATTTGAACGTTGAATGTCTAAAGAATCCAAGGAATTTTGTGATTGATAGAAGGATGAAATGAAATGACAACAAGGTTATAATAGTTGTTTCTAATAACAGAATATCTTTTAAAGGGTAAAACTAATATTTTTTAAAAGCCTTATATCAATGATCATAGGAGAAAATTCTTTGTCAGTGGCAAATGATTTCATATAATTGAGTTAATGAGAAAACAAAGATTCTGAAAGACACACTTTAAGAGCACAATATATGTAAAAGTTTAACAAAAAAATTTGTATAGAGAGGCAAACAAACAGATAAATAGTGATGTTGAAATTCAATTCATTTCAGAAAAATTAGAATATCAATGAAAGGAAAGGAATTGTCAGATTCAATTTCAAAAGTGATCTAGATAGCTGGACCAATCAATTTGTAACAGATAAAATCTTGGTTAAATATTTTATTGCCATCAAAAAAGGGGAATATGTCATTAACATAGAAAATCCAGAGCAAAAGACAGTTTTACAAGTAGTTTAATCTCAGAATAGGCTCGTAAAAGTCAGCAAGTACTGGAATGAGGAATTACCCATAACTAATTCTTCAATTTGGCAATAATAATTATTTTGGGAAATGCAGCGAGTCTGAAAACACACAGAATTGTGAGAATCAAGATCAGTGTTATAAATGTACACTGGTCTGCAAAACTTAAGCAACAATGTAAATTTTAATCAAATAGCTATGAAATTGCAGAAAAGAGTTTCTTGCGATCAGTACAATGGACACGCAATTCAGTAGAAAGGTCATACATATGCAAATGTCAGGAACAAAACGTCACAGGCAACGTGAACGTAATGCAAAACTCGTGCGGTCGGCGCGATTAACTTAAGACTACAATAAAAGGAAGGACGGGGGTCGCAATTAAAGACATTCACTGTAAGTGCAAGTTAGTTCTTTCATGAAATATGGCTAGAAGAACTCACCTGGATGACTCCACACGTGGAAGAATGATTGGAAAGCTGGAGGAGGGCGTAGTGTGACCTGTATAGCTGAAGAGTACGGAATCAACAACAGTGTCATTTCGCGCCCTTGGGAAGCCTTTCAAACCATAGGTACAGCAGTTAGAAAGGTTGGTGGTGGCTGTTCCAGGAAAACAACTGCTGTGGAAGGTCGATATATTGTCCTGCAGGCGAAAAGAACCCAAAACCAGTCAGCAAGTGCCACAGCTCAGCAACTGTGTAGAGCAACGGGGTGACAGGTGTCGCATTTTACGGTGTCCGGACACCTTCACAAAGGTATCCTATTCGCCCGCCGTCCTGAACGCTGCATTCCTTTGAAAGCTAGCCATCAGCGTCACTGTTTAGAGAGGTGCAAGGAGCACAAAAACTAGACATCTCATCAATGGAGTCGTGTCCTCCTTACGGATGAGAGTCGTTTTAGTGCCACAAGCGATTCTCAACGGCAGTTGATTTGGAGAGAGGTCGGGACACGATTTCATCCCAGTAACATCACGGAAAGAGACCATTACGGTGTCCTGGAGATCTCATCTGGAGAGACATTATGCTGAACGGGCGGACAGAGCTGCAAGTTTTCGACAGAAGTTCTGTGACCGGAGATCGCTATTGTCAGGAGGTGATACTTCCCTACGTGCGTCTGTTCCGAGGTGCAACTTGACCAGGCTTCTTTTTTATGGATTTTTTATGCACGGCCACACCGGACTCCTGCTATTCAGAAGCTACTGAAAAGTAGCTTCTTCTTCGAGATATCACTCGAATGGATTAGCCAGCGTACTCCTCTGATTTAAATCCCATAGAACATGTGTGCGATGCTTTGGGGAGACGCCTTGCGGCACGATTACATCCTCCGGGGAACAACCAACAACTGAAATAGATGCTGATTGAGGAATGGGAACTCTTACCTCATGATCTGTTGGGCAATCTGGTGCTGAGTATGGAGAGACGGTGCGAAGCAACCATTGCAGTAAGGGGAGGGCATATTCCATACTAAGTAAAATGTGCTTGTTGGTCTTCCTCATGTACAGACAGTCATGTGTAACGATACTATGAATTCAATAAAGCCTGTTTTGGTCTGATTCCATACTGATGCATTGTATTCTTTCCGCGAACTATGCTTTTATCATTTAAACAGAAAATGCTGTCTCTCGTTTCTGAATTTCATGTCTCTCGGATAATTTCTCGTGGAGTTATGGCAAAAGGAATAGTTGTTGCTTAAGTTTTGCACACCATTGTATGTTTCAATAATATGAATTCAATTAACCCCTTCCGGTATGATTTAATAATGAAAAAGTGTGCATGAAATAACCATTTAATTTTTATTTAAAAAAACTTGTTTCATTTTATAATTCTTACATATTCTCAATTAATATTCATTTTTACATATTGTTAAATGACATTAAAAACGATAAAATTAAGAAAAAATCAGAGCAAAACTTTAATAAGGTATATGGTTAATAGTCTTCAAGCGTGTGATACTTTTCAAGACACTCTGGTTAAGTGCAAAGGAATCCTGCATTGTTTACACTGCCAGGGAGTCTCACTTCTAATTTTATTCTTGTAACACACACGGCACCTCTTAGTAGGTTTTCTTTTATTCTGAGTTAAAGGAATGTATTCTGGAAAATGTCCCCATCTTTTAGCCGGCAACCTAGCCGGGGTGTCACTACATGAAGGACGTCCACGGGTTTTATAATCCGGTAGTATAACTTTTTGTAGAATTTGTTCTACTATGTCCAGTCGAAAGCTCCCAATTCCGATTTTGTTGGTATTATTGATTTTGCTACATAAAACATATGAATTGTAGAGCGCAATGTCAAACATGTAAAAAATATTTTCTTATATCTTTCATATATTTTCGCACATACCGGGAAAACACGCCAACTTAATAATTTTTGTCGATGCCTCCATTCGTATTGACTAATCACAAAATTGGTTTTTAAAACTTCTCCCTTTCCATCTTCTCTTTCTATTTTTTCCCTATCCATGATGTCAGCATTACAATGTTTGCGGAGTATATTACATCTCTTTTGTCACACCATCTCAAAAGTAGTAAACTCGATGGAGAGACTTCGAATTATCCTCTTCTCGTTTGATTGAAAGTCCTTTGGCAGGTTGTTTGTTGGTGATCACAGCGTTCGATGTTTCAAGAAATTTCGGAACAATTGGAGAATACCATTATCCAAGATATAGTGTATCCTTTCGTAATACTCTTGATAGTTCCATCACCAACTTTCTGATGCGGGATATCACAATTTGTCTTCACCGCTATATATTTTGAACTGCTACAATATCCGGATCCGACCACAAGTTTTAATATTTTATTCCAATCTGATCGATGGATGAATAAACTGCCAAAAACTCAATCGACTTTTATTTCATCAAAGACTCTCAATAGCTTACTATTTTGGGAGTGTAAAGGTTAGTAAATTTATCATTTAAATAAGTTATATATTCGAATCTTTTCCAATTATGTTGTCGTCGCTTTTTCTTATCTGCAAAATGCAGGAAGATGATATAGAAAGACCGTCTGAGAGACCTAGTCTGTGAAAATCTGGATGTACTGGCCTTTGACAGTACATTTAAATCTGTTTTTTATTTGCGGATAATATGCAAGCGCGAATATCTTTCATTCGCCGACAGTACAGGAAACCATTCTACATCTATTTTCTTGCTTGGACAATGTTCTTTCTTTATTACTTGTTCCGCATACCTGTCAGTTTCTATTGATAGTATTTCCCAAAAGTTCACATTCAATACTTCTTCAAAAACCTCTAATGGTTTGGATTAGCACCTAGTTTTTGCATAATCAGAGGGTTTACACCAGGTATTCCTGTAAATTTTTTTATTTCAGGCACATTATCTATTTCCTTCCAACACCATTCTTCCGATGATTTGTCTGCGATTCCAGAAGGTTCACAATCATCATCACTTATTAGTCGCCTAACACGTTTTCGCTTTCTTGGTAATATTTCACTATTATTATCTTCATTATCAGTATCAGGTAAGTGTACACTTATTTCTTCTGATTCTTCATAATCGCTCCAATCACCTTTACCTTCATAGTCTGCAAAACTCTTATCTATTATGGTATTTACTATACAACACATTTTTGCGTTATTTTTCCGTTTCACCGGCGCAAACCTCGCCAAGCAGACTTTATTGCTTTATTGGCAACAACACACAGTATACACATAAAAAATGTCAGCAAATGTTAGTTCTAAGATGTTTTTTATCTTGAATGCATAATAAAAAATATTTTAAATATTGAATTTTGGAACAATATTGAA